TCGGCGCGGTTTGAATTACAGTCGCCAGAGCGAAGCCCCCTAGAGAGGGGTGGGGGGGTAGGCAGCGGGATTAGTCTGACAGCCCGGGAGAGGGGCCCCGGGAACCCCTCTGCCTGGTGGGCCCAGCTCTGCTCTCAGAGCTGGTTTTCAAGTGTCCATCAGGGAGTGTTCAACATGGAATAATTTCTCTTGTCCCGGTCTTTTCTTCTCTTTTCATACTGCCCCGTTTCCTGTTGGTAGAGCGAACACGCCATTTTTCTTTTGGAAATGTAGCTCAGATATTTTCAGCAAAAACTGCACAAATGAGCGGGGTGGGGGGGGGGTCCTTGTTCCCTGACTTCCTGCACATATTTCTTCAAATGTCTTTTCTTCTCAGGAGGCCAACAACCCTATTTAAAAACATCACTCCGTTCCCCTCACACTTCCCAGGCTGGCTCCTTGCTTTATCCATACCTTGGAATTTCCGTGTCTTTTACTTATATATTTTTCTGTTTCTGACCCCCACCCCACACAACTCTACACACACTGAAATGTATGCCCCACGAGGACAGCATATTTGTCTATCTTGTGCGTTACTGTACCCGACTCAGAAAAATGCTGGCGCATAGCAGCGTTCAGTGTATCTCTGCTGGGTAAGATGCCTGACTCAGGAGGAAGCCTCGGTAAGAGGATTTCCTGGTTTGCCTGTTTAATACAACTAGACATGTAGGAGCATGGCGTAGGGTAACTGACCTGCAGGGACTGTTGGTCTCTCTCCCAGCCACTATACCCTTCCCAGTGACTGAATCATCACAGGAGCTCAACACGTGTGTTGAGTGAATGCCAGAGCTGTAGGTATCCAGCCCTCTACAGGGAGTGTTCAACGTGGAATAATTCCTCTTGTCCCCGTCTTTTCTTCTCTGTTCAAACTGCCCCCTTTCCTGTTGGTAGAGAGAACAGGTTCCCTCATGAGGATAGATGGTCCGGTTCAAAGCAGTTCCAGTGTCCCATTCTTTTTAAAAAAATTATTATAGGGTGGTTGATTTCAGAGAGGAAGGGAGAGGGAGAGAGAGATAAAAACATCAATGATGAGAGAGAATCATTGGTCGGCTGCCTCCTGCACACCTCCTACGGGGGATCAAGCCCTAAACCCAGGCATGTGCCCTGACCAGAATTGAACCCGTGACTCTTCAATCCACAGGTTGACACTCTATCCACTGAGCCAAACTAGCTAGGGCCCAGTGTCCCATTCTGCAGTTGGATGAACCCATTGGCAGCTCAAGGCTAAGGTGTCCTATGTCCTGGAATTATCAATGACTATTTCTGCTCTTTCTGATTTAAGGCATTAGAGTGGGGATTATGTACACATAATTACATACACATATATTCCAAATTTCTCTCTTCATCTCTAATCCCCATTTTCAAATCAAACTTTCCATTATGGGACATCAGCAGAAGGCTCTAAGGTTAAGGGTTAAAAAATGACACATCTAAATATGACATACTGTCCCCCCCCCCCCCCAAGCAGAAGTGGGCCCTGCTCTTGAGCCCCCTGTCAATGGTGACCAGGCCAATGGTGACTCAGACTTTTTTTAGCTGTTCAATTGAGTAGAGAGGTAGGAGGATACCTGGTTTGCCAGGGGATGAGGAATGCATCTGGAAGCCACTCCTTAAAAAGTGGTTCTTTAAAAGCATCACATTAAAAAGTGTTATTCGCTTTTAAGTTTTTGTATAATGGTTCTAACCATTACTTAATTCAATAATAGCAAAGAGACTTGGTAAAAAGCCCATAGATTTTGTTCCAAAGTGTAAAAGAGTTCTCTCTGTGTCTGCTGTCAAGACCCCCCTCCAAGATCTGGGAGTAGAGGGTGCCTGCCGTGGGGATGAAAGAGATGCCTAGATGGGAGTGTGAGCA